TCATCTTGGACACATGTATGACCGCGTTTAAACTCAGCCACCCAGTTTTTTACTGTGGCATAAGAAGTAGCACATTCACCCAAAACATTCTTTAACTCGTCATAGATATCTTTCCCATAAATGCCCTTCATATGAAGAAACTTCATCACCGCTCTTTGTTCATTTTCATCCATTTTGAAAATAGTTGACGAAATATATTTACTAATGACAAAAAATCAATAAAATTTTCGCGCCACCAAATTCAAATTTAGAACACAGGTGGTCAGAGATACGAATTTAAAAATGACATACAATTTTTTTTTAATTTTAACTTTTTAAATAGCAGAGGCTAGTTATTTATCATCCCGCCCTCGTAATAAGGGGGATAATGTTTAAGAGAGGTTAGGTATAGAGCGGAACTTTCACTTAAATTGGAACGCCCACCCAAGTAAATAATCTCCACTCCATAGAATGTTAACGTGAAGTAACACAATTTTTGGTAGTGTTGTATTTCAATAGTGTATTGGGTAAGGTTGGGGATGGGGTCTTATTTGTTTCAACCAGAGTCTGTGTTTTAGGGTCAGTTTACGCGATTCGTTATTTAAAACTTCCATAATTCGAAACTGAGCAAAACTTTTAACAGTTGCAGTTTACAGAAAATAAATATTTAAGAAGGTCGAATATATCTTAGTTTCAAATATGAATGCCAGCCGAAGGTTCCCACCTCCTTCTGCGAATCGGTGATGACGCAGAAGGAGGCCGCGGAGAGGGAGCGGGAGGAGGACGCTCTAGCCGCTCCCCTCCGACGTAGACGGGTGGGCCGAAGAAGGCAGGCAGACTGCCAGTCTTCGTCGGCCCGAAGGTGGTCTGGGCGCGGCTTGGCCGCCGCGTGCCCTAGGTGCCATTCGGCATAGGCCACCCTGTCTGGGGATTGCCTAGTACCGTAGCGCAATTCCCCAGAGGCGTGTCGCTCGGTCTACTAGTTGGGCCGGGCCGGCCCGGGGGCGTCACAGTGAAGTGGCGCACACAGAGGTGCGCCGATAAGACGCTCCCATAAGGGCGTAGGAGGGTACCGGTGGTTTTTAATGGGTAGGACCGGCGCTGTTCCACGTCGGGGAGTCCCACACACGTCGCGCGCCTAGCCAACGCGCGGTATGGTCCGTAAATGGATTTTCCATCGTCCAACAAAAAAAAGGCACTACACAAGCAAAGAGGGGCGGTCTTTACAGTACCTTTAAATTCGTTTTATCTTTACAGCAAATCTATTTATTGATACATAAATAGAACTTCCGGATATTGCTGATGTTACGAAAATTTTGTCACGAAAAACAACTCGTAAGCGCCATTGCTTTAACAATATTTAACAGAGGTCATGACGATCACGTTTTACAAAATCTCAGGTGGAATTTGTAAGAAATCAAATCACATTAGATATGGAGCGAATCCGAACATCTGTCATCGTATAGTTTTATTTCGTTGCGAAAGCTTTAAGAATATTTTGCGATAACTGAATTACGTCGTTTAGTTGTACAGTGTTAGGTTTCTCAACGATTTCATGATTTTGTTGTTTTCCTGTTGCTAACTTTACTATTGGCAACAAAGTCCACCTATTATTATGTTATTATGTGTGTAAAAACGATAACAGAAAATATATTTCCCAAGTATATAATAAATACATCCAATAACATTTATAAATAAGTTTATGCTTTAAAAAGAAAATCATTACTAAATGGTTAACCGCTGTTAATAAATTAATCTTTAAAATTATAAAGCCTGCTTTAGCTACGAAAACCCAATAAAATCATAGATAATATGATAATCAGTTATCCTGATAACTGAATATTTAATCTTATTATCTACTAGTGGCCCGCCCTCGCTTCGCTTCGGTGTAGAGTTGAAGTGTAGACTATAGTTATTGTTCTCAGGCCTGTATTATACACAATGGCATTCTTCTTATGCCTACCGCCGCCGCGACCCATGTCGAGCGCGGCAACCGTTACACAAAAATAATCCTTATAGCATGATTCAGTATTCACGTGCGACGGCGCGATGACTTATTTCATGTATAAGTTTGGTGTTTCTATACCGATTTCTATGATTCTTTTTTTATTGAATAGGTAATAATGTTAACTTTTTTAAATTAGGGATGAGTGAGAGTATTATAAACGTAAGAGTAAACAAATATAATCAGAATGCTCCGAACTGCTAAGCTATCAGGAGTTACACGTATTATTGTGGGTCAACCATAAAAGCTTTATATGCTTTTGCGGGATATTTTTTAATCAATTTTATGTAGAATATTTCCGTCATACGTGATTTCTATGTAACTTTAACCATTAAGGCTGCACACGCAACGGAAGCTAAAAAAATGGAGTAACTTCTCCCGTTTTCCCAACATTTCCCTTCACTACTCTGCTCATATTGACTGTAGCGTGATGAAAAGTATACTATAACCTGCCCAGGAGGATGAAGAATAATTGTACCAAGTTTCGTTAAAATCCGTCGAGTAGTTTTTGTTTCTATAAGGAACATACACACAGACAGACAGACAGACAAAAATTTTACTGATTGCATTTTTGGCATCAGTATCGATCACTAATCACCCCCTCATAGTTATTTTGAAAATATATTTCATGTACAGAATTGACCTCTCTACAGATTTATTATAAGTATAGAAGATAGATGAAATTGTATTGTTTAATCATTATTATTAATATCCGAACGGCTGTCAGTGGGCTGTAACGTGTTACAAAGTTCACAGAATGTGTGTCGCTATTGCATTATAACGACAAATATTTAAAAAAAAGTTGACAATTTTAAAAATCTCTAAAAGATTTTTTTGTTCTTGCTACTAGCCAACAAAAAGTTTAGAATTCACACTTGCAAACAGGAAAATGGCAAAAGTTAAGATTTTCCAAGGGAAAGGGAGTAAATCTACGGCGGGAGACCTTGTACTGAGAAGAACCGGCAAGAAACTCAGCAAGGGCTGTTTTTTTCAGAATGATGAATGAATTAAAGGATCAGCCAGTTTCTAACAGATAGTTAAAAAACATTTTTTGTATTATTATTAAAATCCACAGGTCCAACCTTTTCTATGTTAAATGGCACTTTCACGAAAATTTTGTTAAAACTTACGAGGAACGAGGTTTTGATTAGGAAAGACTTTAAATGCACTGTGTAGTACAATCCTCAAATGCAAGGTCGGTCGTGGGATCATCAGTATTGTTTAGAGACACTGGCTGCCCACACTATGCCTCTATAGTGTTCTGTACACACATGAACAAACTGAATATTCACCTCGGAAGCCGTGGTGTGATTTAAAATTAAAACACCAATTTCCAATTTTCAAATTAAACCGGCGAAACGACAATCTCCGATAGACGACCTCCGTGGCCGAGTGGTTTGTACTCCGGGTTTCAAGGTGTCGTCTACTCGAGAGGTCCCGGGTTCGATGTTATATGGGTTCCTTTTGCCTTTGGCTACGGAATCACTTTAAACATTACAGTAACTTCTCATGACATAATTGCATGACAGTCAAACCATAACGGATTAAATGCTTCCAATTCTTAAATAAATTATAGTGCTATGTTTGTTTGAGTAGACTTGAACTATGTAATTTTAAATTGAATGCAATAATGTAATTGCTTGGGAATCTGTTCAAGGTTCAATGTTCTGTTCTGAGTGATGTAACTTTCATTTATTGTTTAACCCCCCCCCCCCCCCTCTCAGCCCTCCCCACCTTGCTACGCTTCTTGATAGAGTTTTTTATTTATTTATAGAGGTAGGCAAATGACTCTACCCCACCTGATGTTAAGCGGTAATAAAGTCCAAACGCGAATAGTTGGCATAACTTGCAATAATTTTGCTTAAAATCGATTCAATTAATGCGCAGATTAATATTTTATAGAATAATGACAAAACGTCAATGTCAATGTGACATCATTGTATGACTTAATCATGATGTAAGTGGACCTATGTTTTTGTTCCCGGGCTTGTTTATATTTATATAGAAATCTTTCATCAAATTGTGGTAGTTACCTAATTAGTTAAGTAAGTTCTTAAATACACAACTGACGGTGAAAACTTCAAGAAAATTTCAATACTTTTTATTTTTTCACAAACATACAGACAAACGGGAGTAGGGAGATTACCATATATAAAGTGGTTTGGTTTGAAGTCATGCTCTTCTGGTAACCGAAGAATTACATTAACAGTAAGCATTTCGAGGAGCTCAATGGCGCGCGTGGTTAGCGCTTTCGGCGGCGATCGTTAACGTTAAGCTAACTTTCGCAGTGGTCGGTCATTGGATGGGTGACCAAAAATCTTCTATCTAGTAGTTATCTTGACCAAAAATCAAATCAAAAAGTTTCTTTTTGATATACAGAATACATTGATAGGGAACCTAAATGTAATTCATCATTATCATCATCAGCCTATTAATTTCCCCACTACTGGGGCACAGACCTTCCCTATGGATGGAATAGGGACATTGGGACCCACCACGTGTGCCCAGTGTGGATTGGCAGGTGCGAACGTCTGCAAATGCAGCCGGGACTGACGGCTTAACCTGCCTTCCGAAGCACGGAGAAGCTCGAGATAGAAGATTTTTGGTCATCCATCCAATGACCGACTATTGAGAAAGTTGCTTAACTTCAACGATCGCAGCCGAAAGCGCTAACCACCCGCGCCATCGAGTTCCTCTCAAATGTAATAAGGGTAATGTAGTTAAATGTTTGCCCTCCATTTTCATATCTCATCCGTTATTTACTATCCACAGTCCAAGTGCTTCTCAATTTGGAATACAATAATCATAATCAAAATCATTTATACAGTTTAGTCTGTTACAAGCACTCATGATTGTCTAGAAGCTACGCCATCGATTCGTAAATCTACGGCGGGAGACCTTGTACTGAGAAGAACCGGCAAGAAACTCAGCAAGGGCTGTTTTTTTTCAGAATGATGAATGAGAATGAAGGGGACCCATACGATACGTGTATATATTGCTTGGAGTTTTTATTTACCTGGACTCGACATCGCCACCACCGCTATCACGAGTGACAGCCATGTTGTGATATTCTGTGAACAAAGAAAACATATTTATATTTGTTATTTTTAAGTATGTAACTGCTAGGTGTTTAAATCTAAAGATAATTTTTACTAGAAAAAATCCAGGCGGACCAGTGCATTCGCCCGGATAGCGAAGGGTGCGGGTTCGAGTCCCGTCTGCTGATTGGTCCGCGTGGAATTTTTTCTAGAGAAATTTGCTTTAGATTTAAAGAAAAAATATGTTTAATAATAATATCATTATAAACATTTTTTTAGTTTTAAGCATTTAACTGCTAGATGTTTAAACCGGGATTCAAAGCCGTATCTTCCGCTGTCCGGGCTTAAACGGAACATGCAAGTTCGAATCCTGCCTGTAACCTGGATTGAGTGGTATTTCTTCTACTTAAATTTTCTTTACAATTCTTCTAATTCCTTTATTTGCAGAACTCCACTGCTGGGGCACAGGCATTCCGCGGGCCCAGTGCGGATTGGCGGGTGCTAACGACTGCAGATGCAGCCGGGACCAACGGGTTAACGTGCCTTCCGAAGCACGGAGGAACTTGTGATAGAATATTTTCGTCACCCATCCAATGACCGACCACTGCGAAAGTTGCTTAACTTTAACGAACGCAGCCAAACGCGCTAACCACCCGCGGCATCGAGCTCCTCCATGGAATAATGTTTGTATATTTTAGACTCTTTTATCAATAGAAAACCTAGCAAACCAGTGAACCAAATGTTCACCAAAACCTGATTTAAAAAAAATGTATTTAATTAATTGAGAACTTCGGAGATTTTGTGTGGTTTCGTTTGAAATTCGTGATTTCTCGAAAACTGGAAGTGCTACTTTACTCAAATCCGGTTTGTAGTCTTATCGCACTATTCTTAACTTATAACTTAAACATTCTTTTTATCTATCTCTTACGGTTTGGCCGCTGAAACAGCACCACAGACAGACGGACGGACGGACTTGTCTAACAGATAAGAGATGCTAATATCTTTTTAAATAATATTAAAGAATTTTTTATTTATTAGTATGAATAAAAAAATTCTACACTCACACCAATTAGTCTAGCCTCAAAGTAATATATAAGGTTCTTGAATTATGGTATACTAGGGTAACGGATAAATCTCTATACTTATATTATAAAGCTCAAGAGTATGTTTGTTTGTTCAAACGCTCTAGTTATAGTAATAATTTCAAAAAATCTGTTTGTGTTTAATAGTGCATTTATCGAGAAAGGCTGTTATAGGTTATATTAATTTATTAATTCTTTCTCTGCTGCTCCCACTGATCCAGTTGAGATAAAAGAAATTATACTAAGTCTTAAACAAGATAGTTCTCCTGGATGGGACAATATACCTACGAAAATAATTAAGTACTTTGGTAAATATTTAACAACACCCATTGCCTATTTATGCAATCTAAGCCTTGAAAGTGGTGACTTTTCCACAATATTTAAAAAAGCTTTAGTCGGTCCAATTCATAAAGCAGGAGCTAAAGATCAAGCAACGAACTATCGGCCTATTTCCATACTCTCGGTACTAAGTAAAGTCTTAGAAAAGGTTATGAACAAACGACTCATATTTTTTTTAGAAAAATACAGATTCCTTGTTGATGAACAATTCGGTTTTCGTAAAAATAGATCCACCGAAGACGCTGTCCTTAAGCTGACGTCATGGATAACATCTCAGACGGATAAGGGCGAAAAATGTATAAGTGTTTTCCTAGATCTTCAGAAAGCATTCGATACTGTCTCCATTCCTATACTGTTATCTAAGTTAGAAGGTGTCGGAATAAGAGGAGTAGCATTGAAATGGTTCGAAAGTTACTTGACAGGCAGAAGACAGTTGGTTCGCATGGGCAAGTACCTCGGTGACTTTTCCAACTGTATTTATGGAGTGCCGCAAGGTAGTACTTTAGGACCAACCTTATTCCTGGTCTATATCAATGATCTGGGCAAAATCAACTTTGAGAACGGCACCATGAGTATGTTTGCTGATGATACTGTCCTCATGTTTCATAATTCTAGTTGGCAAACAGTCACGGAATCAGCTGAAAAGGGACTAAAACAAGTCACGAAATGGCTTGAGGACAGTATTTTATCAATAAACATAACAAAAACCAAATATATGTGTTTTAGTAAAACTGCTGTCGGAAGCCCTAACAATGACCATAAACTAAAAATTCATACTTATCCATGTAACAGAGGTGAAGGAGGGAATTGTAAATGTCTTTACCTGTCTAAAGTTAACAATATTAAGTACTTGGGAGTAGTTATTGACGACAAATTGAGTTGGTTAGATCATATTAAATTACTACAACTAAGGATAAGAAAACTTATTTACGTATTTAAAAATCTTAGGGATGTTGCCAATCTGCAGCTCCTAAAACAAATTTATCAAGCCTTGTGTGAGAGTATAATTAGATATTGCATACCAGTGTGGGGTGGTGCAGCAAAAACTCACCTAATTATGGCAGAACGAGCACAACGATCAATTTTAAAAGTAGTCATGTTTCTCCCTTACAGACATCCTACAACAGACATTTACAAATTATTCAAAGTACTTTCTGTAAGAAAACTTTATATTTTTGAAAGTATTCGCAGATACCACCGTTATGTTATCCCACAGCTACCTAATGATCTTACTAGGAGGGATCGCTGTCATATCCCCTCAGTCAAAAGTCAATTTGCACGTCGTCAATATACATATATGGCACCACGACTTTACAACAAATTAAATAACATTAAAAAGATAAAAAAGTGTAGTAATTTTAGCTTAAAAAAAGTTATTAATGATTGGCTGTTCGGCATAGATTATGATGGTGTGAAGGATCTACTGATTGACAACACCCGGATATAGGAAGTATAGCACAGTGTTTATAAATTATTACTTGATATTTATGTGGTTTAAGACAAGACGCATCTACATACACACGCAACACCCAGGCACACACACACACACACACACATACACACACACACACATACACACACACACACACACACGCACACATACACACACGCACACATACACACACGCAAGCACACCTACACCCACACTCACTATACACACACATATTATTTAGTTATTTTTTCTATTTATCTTTACTGTGAAGAAAAATAGTAATGTTTTGTTATGCCCAGTACAACTGCTAAGATTATATTGTAAGTACATAATTGGAGAGGACACTGGATTCCATACTACAGGCTAAGGCCTATTTTGGAATACAGGGGAATCAAACATAAATTGTAAAAAGTATAATGTCAATAAACATTATTATTATTATTAAAAAAAAATCCTTAAATAAATGCAGATGAAACCGCAGAGCATCCGAAATACATAATTATGATGCAAAGCCGATTTATTTATGTAGATGTAGATTTTTTTTATTTAAATGATACCTTATTATTTTTGTGTTTAAAGAAATAATTTCCTATTAAATCGAGTATTATATATACAAAGTGATTACCCGAAAACGACCACAGCTGTGTTGTGAACCCATCGTGCTATTATACAAGAAATGACTATTGTCCATTGTTGCATACATTTACAATGCTTTTGAAACTTCGACAAAAACCAACGAACATAACCCGTTCACGTATAGAAGTAGCTTTAACAACTGACAATGAAGATTTAGGAAAAAATATAGTTAAAAACATCGATATGATAGTGACTTGTCAATCGTAAAGGAAGTGACAGAACCAATTTAATCTATACTTATAATAAATCTGTAGAGATCTCAATTCTGTACATGAAATATATTTTTAAAATAACTATCAGGGGGTGATTAGTGATCGATACTGATGCCAAAAATGCAATCAGTAAAATTTTTGTCTGTCTGTCTGTCTGTCTGTGTGTATGTTCCTTATAGAAACAAAAACTACTCAACGGATTTTAACGAAACTTGATACAATTATTCTTCATACTCCTGGGCAGGTTATAGTATACTTTTCATCACGCTACAATCAATAACAGCAGAGTAGTGAAGGGAAATGTTGGGAAAACGGGAGAAGTTACTCCATTTTTTAAGCTTCCGTCGCGTGTGCAGCCTTAATGGTTAAAGTTACATAGAAATCATGTATGACGGAAATATTCTACACAAAATTGTCTAAAAAATATCCCGCTAAAGATAGACATATGCTGTTATGTCTATCTTTTATGGTTGACTCACAATAACACGTGTAATTATATAAATAAAGTCATTCTTTATAGCACAAGCCTGAGAACAAAAACTATAGTTTACACTACAGCTCTACACCGAAGCGAAGCGAAGGCGGGCCACTAGTTAAAAATAATTATTAATTGAGTTTCTCGATACGGTCGTTTATATTTATTGTAAAATATCTAAAACGCAATGCACTACTATTATTCCTCATGGACGTGAAATTCCGAAAGAAGAACTCGATGGCGTGGTTGGTTAGCGCGTTCGGCTGCGATCGTTGAAGTTAAGCAACTTTCGCAATAGTCTGTCATTGGATGGGTAATCAGAATATGCTATCTCGATTTCCTCTGTGCTTTGGAAGGCACGTTATGCTGTTGGTCCCGGCTGCATCTGCAGTCATTAGCACCAGCCAATCCGCACTGGGCCCGCGTAGTGGGTCATGGCCCAATCTATCTATTTCATCCATAGGGAAGGCCTGTGCCCCAGCAGTGGGGACATTAATAGGCAACATAATATTATATACAATTATAATAGAAATGTAAATTCAAGACAAGTTATTAATTCTTTAAATTCAAACAGCTCATTGTTATTTTTTACTTATTTGCATTCACTGTGCTAGTTTGTCTTATTTAATAAGAAGTAATAACAGTAGTTATTATGCAGTTGTACTCCCGAGTTCATATAAATATATAACACTCATTTGTTTACCAGTACCCTTAGCACGTATCGAATTCGAATAGTTTGCGAGTCCGAAATATCATTGTCAAATTTTCTATGGAAACTTGAAAAACATCACCATAACGGACCTAACAAGATATAATAAAAATCAGTACCCCTAGCATGAACCATTATCGAATTCGTA